AGCCCACCAGGGGGCGGGGCTGGCTGGCATGTGGTGCTGGGGGATTGAACCGCGGTCCCTGATGCTTTTTGCTAAGCTTGTTCTAAGTAGGTGCTCTAGACCACCGAGCCATCTCTCCAGCCCCTATCCTAACCACTTTGAATACACAGATACAAAATGAACATTCATCTGTATCCCCTTTTTTTTTTTGTTAAGTCCCATCATTTAAGATCTTAATGATCTTAAGAGAAAACTTTCAGTTCCACTCCCAAGTTTACATGTTTACATTAAGCTATATTTAATAATTCAGCATATTTCTCTGCTCTGTGAAAGCATATGATTTTGGAAGTTAGAGCAGTCTTTGAATAAATGATCAAAGTAAACTTTAGATGTGCACACCCACTAGTATTTTTTGAGGACTGGGACTTGAAGTCAGGACCTTATGCCTGCCAGGCAAGGCACTGTGCTACTGAGCTATTGCTCTGGCCCTACATGCTAGTTTTTAACCTTTTAGTTTGTTCAAATTAATCCACAAGGGTCTTACAATTAATGAATACAGTCAGAGTCCGTCCTTTTCTCTCGGGCTTCAATCGTCTCTGGTGCTCCTCTTTCTGTTTTTATTTTGGGTGGGATGATACTAAGCGTGCTAAGCTACATCCCCAGTTCCTTACTGTTTTTTTTTTTTTTTTAACTAGTATCTGGCTCCATCGCCTAGGTTAGCCTCAAAATTGATCCTCCTGCTTCAGCTTCCTGGGCAGCTGGTCTAAGGGTGTGTAGCACCAAACTTGGCTTTATAGCTCCCTTGGCTGGTCTTTTCATATCAGATATACATACATTCATAAGAATATACTCCTTCAAGGGCTGGCCAAATAGCTCAGCACACTAAAGCACCTGCTTAGGCGGAGTGCAGTGGTCAGGGTTTGATCTCTGGTGTGCCTTGCTGGCCCCGCCCCCAGGGCTCGCTGAGATGGCGACTGATTGAGACTGGGAGTGGTAGCATGCACCTGTAATCCCAGCAATTGGGAGGCTGAAAACAGGAGAATCACGAGTCCAATCTGTGAAGTGAGACCTGTACCCTGTAGATGCCATATTAAAAACATTTTTTAAAAAAGAATATACTCTTTTAAAAATACTTTATAAAAAACTTCAGCTTTGACTTTCAAATTATACTGTAATTTACTTTCTTTGTGTGTGTGTGTGTGTGTGTGTGTGTGTGGCCAGCTCAGCCCACCAGGGGGCGGGGCTGGCTGGCATGTGGTGCTGGGGGATTGAACCGCGGTCCCTGTGCCTTGCTAAGCTTGTTCTAAGTAGGTGCTTTAGACCACTGAGCCATCTCACCAGCCCTGTAATTTACTTTCTTTTTTTAAATTTTATTTATTTATTTACGTGTGTGTGTGTGTGTGTGTGTGTTTGTCCAGCTCAGCCCACCAGGGGATGGGGCTGGCTGGCATGTGGTGCTGGGGGATTGAACCGCGGTCCCTGTGCCTTGCTAAGCTTGTTCTAAGTAGGTGCTTTAGGCCACTGAGTCATCTCACCAGCCCTGTAATTTACTTTCTAGAAGTCTATTTTGTGTTTCTATTTTTCAAAAATGCAAACAATAACTTCAGTATAGAAAAAAAGAAACCTAGAGAATAGACCACCATTATTTGTAGATTTTGTATTTGCAAATCTGCTTATTTATTTTTTATTTTTTGCAGTACCACGGATTGAACTCAGGACCCTACACTTGCCAGGCAAGCACTTACTCTACTGAGCTATCACCCTGGCCCTATTTAATAATTAGCTTTATTTCTAAATCCAATATGAACACTTGCCAAGCATTTCCAGTCATCCACAAGCACGCAGAGAACAGTGCAAATCTGTAGTGGGCACATGTGCCCACTCCCAGCTGAAGTAGAATACAGTGAGGCCCCACCTTCTGATTCAAGGCCTCAAACTTTAAGTATCCTTTTTTCCTTTTAAAATTTATTTTTTAATTTTATTTATTCAATATAGGGTCTTGCTATGCAGTTTAGACTTGCAGTGGTCCTCATCTCAGCTTCCCCTGCACTGACTGGGATTACAGGAATGTGCCACTATGCCCAGTTTCAGAGCCGGTGTGGCATGCTGAACCAGGGATTGAACTCTGGTCCTTGCGCTTGCCAGGCAGGCGCTTAGACCACCAAGCTATTGCCCACCCCTAAATATCCTTTTCATGGTCAATCCAGTGCCATCTACTTGCACTTTTTGTAGGTGATGTGCAGCTCAAAGAGGTCCCTAAGCACAGTGAAAAGCTGTCTAGTGTTTCTAAGAGCAAGAAGACTGTGATGTGCCCCAGGGAGAAAATACGCATTAGATATTCTTCATTCAACCATTCCAGTGACGCTGGCCCTGAGCTGACTGTTCATAAATATGTATGTGAAAAAAAAATCTTTAAACAGAAAACGCATATGCACAGGGTTATGTACTGATGAGCCGATGAAAATCAGAGATCAGAGGAATCTAACTCTGTATTTCCCTTAGTAAAGTAGGAGAATGGCTACAAATGTGATGCCAACTTGGGACTACACAGTGAGTTCAAGGCTGGCCTGGACTACACAGTGAAACTGTCTCAAAGAACTGTGTAGTCAGATTGGGTCTCTTTCAAATAAAATCAATGGTGCAAATAAGCAATAATTAAAACCAATAAAAATATTATCAATCACAGGATCTTCATTATCTTTCCATTTATCATAATTCTTTATAATTAAAAGCTTGCACAAGGAAAAATAGAAGTTGTTGTAACATTAATATATCCACTAGAGACCTGTCCTAGATGTGTCTATGACTTAATAGCAGCGTGTCTTTGTACTACAATTACAAGGATGCAGGATTTTATGAAAGTGACACTGGTGAACTTCAAACCACACTACTGACAGCTAAGCATCTGGCAGAAGTCGTATACCAGCTAACAATCAGACAACTTCACAATAACTACAAAAGGGAATGACCTAAATACTCAATGTTTAAAAATAGCTTGTGGGAAAACTGATAAAAGCCCTGAAATATTTTTAGTATAACCAAAACTGAAATAGATGATAGGAACTAATGTCACAAAAATTATAGTAAAAATCCAATCTACACTTGATACTTCATTCATTCTAAAACTCAGCTATAACAATTCCTGGCTAGGTATGGTGGTGCATGCCTATAATCCTAGCACTAGAGAGACTGAAGTAGGAAGACTGCCCCAGTAGGACCGACCCAAATTCAAGACCAGCCTGGGCTACACAGTGAATTCCAGGCAGTGTAAACTACAGAAAAATCTTTTGT